CCTCCCTACGGGCCTACAGGGGAGGCTCCGTGAACCCCTGACTTGGCTCCGCTCCTGGGCCTGGTTTTCTGGGGTCTGTCTGTGTCTGCTTGGGTTCCTGCTGGAGCCACCTGACGGGGTGGAACGTTCCAGAAGGTGAACGTTGAGGAGCGGGCAGAAACTCCCCTTTTCCTGATCAGTTTTTGTTGGGTTTCCTTTCACCTCCTAGTATTTTACTCAGAAGAAAGTAACAAGTTAAAGGGGTTTGAGGCTCTTGCTCAGCGTGTGGTGTTTAAGACACGCTTAGGTCAGACCTCGAAGGATGGTCTCGGGTAAGTGGCCATGAGTGGTCTCCAGGTGTCCAGGCCTCGCTCCTCAGCAGCCCTGTCGGGAGCCTGGGCCCTCCGGGGAGAGGATGAAACTGGTAGTGTCCGAGCCCAGTTCTGAGCCGCCCGCAGCCAGTCACCAGGCTGGCTGTCCGGCCCACACGTGGCTGAGCTGTGGCCCGAGGAGGTGCTGCTCCCGTGGCTCCTGACAGCCCGCCAGCACTATCCTGTGGCCGCCTACCCTGGGTTCCTGGCCTTCTGCTCCCTGGCAGGCTGTTCTGGAGCGAGCGGAAGATCACCAAGGCCAGGGAGTGGTTCCATCGCACAGTGAAGATCGACTCGGACCTGGGGGACGCCTGGGCCTTCTTCTACAAGTTCGAGCTGCAGCACGGCACGGAGGTGAGGCCTTGCTGCCTGCGCCCCTCCTCTTCTGGGGAGCTCTGAGTGCTGCTTCCTGGCTGTCGCCTTGTGGCCTCCCAACCTGAGACTTAGAGTTCTCGCCACTTGGAGTGGCCTGTTGGCATCTGTTAATGAGAGGATTGTGATGGGGGTCAGGGTCGTGGCAGAAGTAGGACTGGAGCTTGAGGCCTGGGGGCTGTTCTTGTGCTTTGGTGGTTCTGTCCTGGCAGGAGCCCTCACAGAGCCCGACCCTGTAGGAGCTGTGCACACGGGGTGGGGCAGCCAGCTGTCCTGGGGTCCCCACAGGATGTGGGAGCCATATCGGGAACCTGGCCGGCTCCTTGTTAGGGGTGGCGGCACTGGTGTGGGCTGAGGGTGTGCAAGGGCGGCCTGCGGGCAGCCCTGCCTCATGTGCCACGGCCCTCACCCAGGAGCAGCGGGAGGAGGTACGGAGGCGCTGCGAGCACGCCGAGCCCAGGCATGGGGAGCTGTGGTGTGCTGCGTCCAAGGACATCGCCAACTGGCAGAGGAAGATCGGGGAGATCCTGGTGCTGGTGGCGGCCCGCATCAAGAATGCCTTCTGACTGTGGGGCCTCGGGGTGCACACAGGGGGATCTGGTGGGGAACAGGGGCTGAGGGGCCCTGAGCGGTCCGTCCTAGTCTTTAATTAAAGATTTTCTAGGTAGTTGTGGGGTGAGTGACCTGCTGGTTTTCTCTTATGAGTCCCCCCCCCGCACCCCCCCCACCCTGTGTGTGCTTTGGCCACTCCCCAGTGTGGCCTGGGCTGTGCAGGGCTCAGGCTCGCTTTCAAGGAGGCATCCTGCAGACAGCCGCAGACAGCCTGTGCCCCACGGAGGATGCCCAAGGGAAGAAAGAGCCTCACTGAGGTTTTGTGGAAAAGGTGCTAGGGGTCACATTCTGGGGAGAGGCCATGCCTTGGGGGCAGCAGGTGGCTGGCCCTCCTGGCGACTCCAGTCCATGTCCCCCCCTCCCCCCGTGCGTGTGCTCTCCCCAGGGCGGGCAGAGGGCCCCATATCACAGGACTGCAGGTGTGGGGGGTCTGCAGCCTCACTGAGAGCAGACAGGCCTGGCTCCCCGCAGTGCTACTGAGGATGTGAGTATGTGGGGAGTGAGTTTCTCCCATTTGCAGGTGAATTCATTTTTGCTAACTTACAATCAGCAGTTTTACCCTAAAGCACTTGTAACTGCTTCTCTCTAGACTGAAAGTGTATTCGTTACCTGGGAGCCTTGAGTGTGTTTTCATAATGTAAGGATGAGACTTTCTTGGGCTCTGGATCCTTGCATCTGTGTTTGTTTGGAAATAGCCAGTTCTCTTGGAAGGGCTGTGTTGGCCATGGTTGGAGACATGTGGCCAGAGGTCAGAGGTGGTCCAGAGGCCGTGGGCCACGGAGAAGAGGCGTAGATTGCCACGTGTGATGACAGGAAGGCCAGCTGGCTGTTGTTCCCACACATTCTCATAAGGAAAGGCCCCAGAGGGGCCCCTTGGTGCCTCACGGTGGGGTGAGCTCTCTCGTGGCGGCCAAGGTTGGGGTGCATACCCCTCCACGTCAGCACCTGGGGTGTGGGCATCTGTCCAGAGAGTGAGGGCCCTGCTGGGTCCACCCCCGATGTTCTGGCAGCCCCAAGGACAAGGCCAGCCCAGGACTGGACCAGACCGCCCTGTGTCGGGGCAGGAACTGCTGTTGCCCAGGCAGGCAACCTGGGCTGGGCTCCGCTCAGATGGGCCGACTCTGGGGGGTCCGTCCTGTCCTCACCCAGAGAGGCCGGTCCTGGGGAACCATGCTGGAGGGTCTTAGGTGTTTTCACTGAAACTTGGGGGTTTCCTTTGATCTCTGGCGGTGGGGGGAGGGATCCCTCCCCTTACACTGAAGAGTGAGCCCTGAAGAGTTTAGAAGCTTGAAAGCCAACCTGTCCCTGTCAGGTGTGGAAACTGAGGCCCAGGAAGGGGCAGTGACTTGGCTGCGGCCACAAGGCAGCTGTGCCCTGAGTCGGGTGTGGCTTCTGGGGGCACTTCCTCCGACCTCCAGTCCGGAGAGGCCACCCATGGGGCCCCTGAGAAGTTCCTGAGCATCTGGATTGTCCAGAGAACGTCTCCTTTCTCCTTTGCCTGGGGTGCTTCCCTCAGCACCTTGAGGTGGCGGTTACATCTCTCTTCTCCCTGGGAAACACCCCTTAGCTTTTCTTCGGCTGCTGCTTTCCAGCCCCAGCTCGAGGCGAGCGGGTTCCTCGGCTTCCTTGCTCTGAGGCCTGGGGTGGGGAATTTGGGGGGGTGGCTCCCTGCAAGCCTTTTTGGGCCAGTGGCCATGCCCACCCCCCCAGTGATAGACCCCTCCGTCCCTGCAGGGGTGAGTAGCAGGAGGCACCTCTGCAGTGCTGGGCCAGCGGGGAGCCTGGGAAGTCCCACGCCTGGGACCTGCTGGGGCAGGACCCCCCCCACCCCCGCCGCAGCCCCATGGCAGGGGAGGGAGCTGGGGTTGGGGGGTTAAGTCCTGCTCACCTGGTTCTGCCTGAGGCCAGGTTCCTGGAAGAGACAGCACCTGCTGACCACTGAGGAAGGCCCCTGCCTCTCCTCCCCTCCCCCAGCAGTGGGGCCCTGCACTGCCCTCTGCTCACCCAACACGCTCCCCCTCCTCCCCACTGGGCAGAGCAGATATCCTGGGTCTGATGGCTTAATCCAAGAGCCACTGGGTGGGAAGACAGCCCAGTGGGGCTGGGCTCCAGGGTCAGGTTAATTGAAGAAGCGATTGGATATGGGGTGGGGAGACGTTGGGGGCAGGGCTGGGATCCTGGGGCCTCCCTCTGCTCCCTCCCTTCTTTGCTCAGAGGAGCCAACTTCAAAAGCCTTGTCTGCCTGCCGCCCATCTGCACGCTTGTAGCCCGCCAGGGAAGCCCTGGTGGCCCGGCTTGGAGCAGGACCTGGAGTGGCAGCTACACTCCCCACCTGAGGACCCCAGGTCATGTGCGAGGCCCTGTGGTGGGAGTGAGGGAGAGCCTGACCCTGAGAGGCCCATGGTGAGCAGCTGCGGGCTACTGGGGAGGGGGGCTTACTCTGGCCAAGGGGCAGGGAGCCTGTGTGGCTGGGAGAGGTGCCCCACTGGGAAATCCCCCTGGGTTGCTGTCACTGAAGCTGGGCCCTGGGGGCCCCCCGCCTGGCCTTCCCAGCAGTGTTGAGGAGACGTCTCCCTCCCGGTGCTGGACAGGCCTCCCCAGGACTCCCTGGTCAACCAGGCTGCCCCACGTGGACGCCCCTCCAGCACCTCCAGCTCTTGTCCTCACTGTGACCTCTGACCTTCAGCAGGCAGAGGGGCGACTCAGGGCGGGGGTGGGTGGGTTTCAAGACCTGGCCACAGCCAATTGCATCTGCTTTTCTGGTGCCTCAGGCAGAAGCCCCCCCACGGACTCCCAGCTCTCGTCCTGTGAGGTCAGGCTCCCCAGCCAGGGCTGGGAAGCAGAGTCGAGTCCTTGCCTGAGTCCCGAGTCTCACTGGGTTCACATGACTAATTTTCTGGTCACTGTGGAGTCCAGCCTGGGTGCTGGGAGCCGGGGACACGTGGCTCTTTCTCTTTGATGCTGGGGCTTGTGCTGAGGGTGGGTCTCTTCCCAGAGAGCCAGTTCCCTCCATTCTGGGGGAGGGGAGGTCTGCAAGTGGAATGTTTGGTGAGGCTAACACGGCCCCTTCCGCCCTTAGCCTCGGGCTTTCCCCAGGCCTTCCCCTTCTGAAGGGGTGTGGCCTTGAGCTCTGAGCCCTCACCCCTGTCCGGGTTGGGCTGGGGGTGCTGCCCAGCGGTAGAAGGGAGCAGGTTTGTTCTGCTGTCCTGCAGGGAAGGCAGAGCAACAGCCGTGCAGCCACTGCCCAGGGCACCCAAGGCCCCGCAGTGTGCTGGGGAATAGGGTGCTCAGGGCCCAGCTCCGGTAGGGGTGGGTCAGGGCATGGCCGGGGCGAGGCTGTGCTCAGGGTACTTCCTGCTATGGCTACCCCAGACCTAGCCAGCCCTGCCCTCCACAGGCCTGTGGGCACTAGAGCCCTCACACCTGTGCAGACCAGAGGTCCAGGTGCTCCTGCCTTGGGAAGCCTGTCTCTTTCCTGGCCCCCAGCATTCACCCTGCGACCTCTGCATGAGTTGAGCTGTCCAGCGTGCAGGCCTTGTCCATCCTTCCCAGACCCACACCCAGAGCGTTTGCTGCACGGCATGGTGATGCCTCCATACCAGCTCACAGGCTGTTCTGGGGTGGTCGGGGTAGGGTGGCCAAAACACACTGCCTGGGGTGTTGCAGGAGGGGAGCCCCCCTCCACAGGCCTGGGTGCCCCACCCTGACCCGGTGTCCCTTGCAGGGGCCCCCCAAGCCTGCACTCTGGGCACTCCTGCTGGTGTTGCTGGGGACCACACAGGGCCGGGCCGGGCTCCGCACCTGCAGTGTCCCCGACGTGCTCCGCCACTACCGGGCGGTCATCTTCCAAGACCTGCAGGCCGCAGCGAGGTGGGTGGGGCCAGGGGGCGAAGGGACGGGGCTGGGCTCCAGACACCTCCATTTCGTTCAGAGAAACCTGACTGGAGCTGCGGCCTCCCGACGGCGGGGCCGGGTGGGAGCCTCCTGTGGGGCCCAGAAGGTATGGAGACACCCCCACCCAAGCCCTCCGTCCCCCTGAGGCCCCTTCACAGGGCTCGTCCTCCAGTTGCTTATTTCCTCCCCTCCCAGGAGCGCAGCATCCTACTGTCCATCCTGTCCCTGGGTCGGACCCTACGTGGGGCGGTGGCCCGGGGCCGCCGTCGGGCACTGGAGAAAGTGGCATGGACTGTGGCCGTGCGCACCGAGGCGGTGATGCAGCGCTACTGCTGGACGCTGCGCCAGGTGCGCGTCCCCAAGCGTGCACAGGTCCAGACCCCCGTCCCATTTGCTCCTGCAGCCCCACAGCCTCATGGCCTGGGGGCGCGAGTCGGGCCCACACCGTGCTGCGACTCCCCCAAGGGCTGGACTTGAGGGCGGGTGGGCCTGGGGACCCTGCCCACTCCCTGACCGACGCGTCTCCGACAGCAGAGCTGGCGGCCTCAGACGCGCCCTTCCCGGCGTCGAGGCGGCCGGAGGTGGCTCCTGCTACACGCCCTGGACGCCATCGCCACCTGCTGGGAGAAGCTCTTCGCACTGCGCGCAGCGGCCGCGCAGCAGGGTGAAGAAGAACGAGCGAGGCTGAGAAAGAGCCTGACGGGGGCACAACCAACGCATCGAAGCCTGTGCTCCCCAAAGAGCCCACGACCAGGAGACCCGATCCCGCCTGGCCATGCTGGTCCCAGAAGGGCCCGCCCCCCTCGCCCCGAGGAGGCTCTGATAAATTGAGCTGGTGCTGCGGTCTGGTCTTCCCTTTCTTCACCTGCTCCTGTGGGGCCGGGCGGGGCTGGGCCGCCCCAGGTCTGCGCCTTGGTGGGGAGCGGGTGCTGGAGCCACCGATGCACATGGCGGGGGCCTGAGGAGACATTTTCCTCCACACCTGGGTGGGGGCTGGAGCAGGGACAGTGCTCCCAGGCTCAGGCAGCAGGGGGCAGCTCGGGACCCTGGACGCGACTCCTGCTCAGTCCACGCCTCAGGCTTGGTGGAGGGGGGTGTCCCGCCACCCGGGGACTCCTGCCGCCCTAAAATGTGGCATATCCGTCCTGCTCCACTCTGGAATGGGGGAAGGGGTGGAAATGGAGGGGAGGGGAAGGCTGAGCTTTGTGCATTCAGAGCAAAACAACCGGATAAAGGAAATGGGCCTGAAGGGAA